TTGAAACAAAGGCATAAATTACACGCTCAAAGTCTAAAAAGGATAAAACTGGTTGAATTTTGGACAGGAGCCTCAAGTGATAAAACTGGACTTAACCACTGAGTTGATCTGTTTATCCAATTTAAAAGCACCTTCAATTTTGACGCCCAGATTTGTGACCATGGGTTTTGCATACGGTTGCAGGGAACCCAGGTCAATGGAAGGGACATCACGATTTGGTCCAAATACAATGACCTCCGTTTTGCTCTCATTTATATTTAAAAGTTTAGCGCCATCCAGGCCTTTATGTCATTAAGACAGTCAAGCAGGGGCATCAGAGAGCTAGTGTTTTTTCTTAGGGGTAGATATAATTGGGAGTCGTCCGCATAAAGGTGGTAGGAGACGCCATGTTTTCTAAAAATTAGTCCAAGGGGGAGATGGTATAAGGAAAATAAAATAGGCCCCAAAATAGAACCTTGGGGAACTCCACAGGATAGGGGGGCAGAAGAGGATGTAAAGTCACCAAGTCTAACAGAGAAAGATCTCTGGGACAGATAGGACCTGAACCACTCTAAGGCAGTGCCCCTGATACCCACACAGTGCTCTAGACGAGAGATAAGGATGGAGTGGTCAATCGTATCAAAGGCAGCTGTGAGGTCTAAGAGCATAAGGATGGCAGAGTCACCAGAGTCTGTCGTGACCAGTAGGTCATTGAACACTCTTAGAAGGGCAGACTCAGTACTGTGAAGCGCTTTAAAACCGGATTGAAAAATATCGAAAATATTGTGTGCATGTAAAAAAGACTGCAGCTGTAAGAGTACGGTTTTCCCCAATATTTTTGAAATAAAAGGAAGCTTCGAGATGGGTCTGATGATGACAGAGGAGAGGGAGGCTGCTTTAGCAGTGTGCAGTTCCTCGGAGACAGCAAGGAGAGCAGTTTCTGTTGAGTGACCTGCCTTGAAACCAGACTGGTGCGGATCCAGAAGGTTGTTCTGATGGAGATAACAGGAGAGTTGTTTAAAGACAGCGCGTTCAAGTGTTTTAGACAGGAACGGGAGGAGAGAGACAGGCCTGTAGTTTATAACATCAGACGGGTTGAGAGTGGGTTTCTTTAGGAGAGGGTTTACTCTTGCCTCCTTGAGACTGTTTGGAAAGTGACCAGAAGTTAGAGAAGTGTTGATGAAATGGGTGAGAAACTGTAGAATATCAGGAGCGTTAGTCTGAAGGAGGTTTGAAGGGATAGGGTCCAGAGGACCCTATCTTGTTGCTCCTCTCTTGTTGGTTCTTCATCACAGTTACGTCTCTGCAGACTCTCAGCTTGCAGATATATAAAACACAGGGATATCTGCAGTAGCCCCCCCCTCAAGGTTGCACCCACCCGTGTGCGATCATCTACAGGTGTCAGAATAGGAGTTAGAATAATTTCTAAAATAAAACTGAGATAATGTTTTTCATAAGAAATTATCAGTAGCTACAGAAAATGAAATCCCACCTGCAATTATTCATAATCAAACAAAGTAGAGCTTCATAGCCATGTATTTTTTATTTACAATCACAGAAAAACCTTCATTTAGTGTGTTACAAGACTGGTCATACCTAATAATTATCAAAATGGGGTATTCTTGCTCAGCCAATATACTGGTCTCTTAGGACTGTGCAGATTAACAAAAACGGGATTTTGTTACTTTAACAAAGTGCCAGGCTAGCCGTTTCCACCTGTTTTCATGCTAAGCTAACTTCTCCCTGCTTTAGCTTCATATGTAATAGTACGAGTGGTATCAACCTTTATATTTAATCCCAGCAAGAAATGTAATCAGTGCATTTTCCATTGACAAATAAACAGAATAAGAAAGCACTCACAGTACAATACAGTCCTCTCCTAAATAAATAGTGTGGCTTTGACCAGATGTCTGTGCTTTGGTTGTAAGCTCTGCAGGGGTACTGCCACTTTTATTTGGCCCAAATCCTGAGAGGCTTCACAGAGGAGCAGCCAGCGTAATAAAAGCAGTTCTGCTCAATGGCATACCAGTGGTGTTTTTTTCTCAGGGGGTTTCTGAAGTGTATTTTAGGAGCAAACAGAGACTGTCGAACGTGACTCGGCCACCAACAGCTGCAGTTTTTTTTCTGAAGTTGAGAGAGAGTGTGCTGAAGTTCAGGCCTTTGATGTAGATATTATTCAAGATATTTATATCAAACAGGGGTCAGGTCAGTTTTAGTGCAATGTTGGGTTGAAATCGAATGAGTGAGCTCTTATCTTTACACAAAAATAATTTATTGAGAATATAAGAACATTTCATGGTGGAAGGTATTCGCAAAAAGAACCATCCATAAATGTATAATTTAATTAAAAATGATTTGATTCCATTGATGCTACAAGAAAATGCAATCAGGGGCATTTAAAATAAATCTGTCAGCGATCCTTTATTCTTTTAAATTTGATCTCCTCCCCCTTTTTAATTGTCTCCCTTCTCCTCCTCCTCCACCTCTGTGTCTCTGTTGTCCTGGGTCCAGGCGGTGTTGGAGAGCACGTGGCCCTCCAGCACCAGAGGAGGGTACTTCCTGTGGATGAAGCTGAGAAATGTAGTTCTGGGAGTGGCCCAGTTCAAACAGGCCCTACGACGACAGGCTGCCCACACACAGAGTCCTCTGTCAGGTACAGTAACAGCCAACCAGAACACTCGCACGTCTGTGAAAACAAACAATATTGTTGTCTCACTAAACTGTTTCTGCACCGGCCTGCAATGATCCTGCAAGCTTGACATACAGTATATCTGAAAGACCTTACACTTTTATTTAATGCTCACAGTTTGTTAATGTGGTCCAGACGGATTCAAAGAAAATCTTAATACTTCGTTTTGACTTCAACAATACACTGCAAACCGTTATAAAAAGAATCTGATTGCACAATCAAAGGACCAAATGTATTTCTCATTCAAAATGTTAAGAATTTACTTCATTGAGTTAATATATTTGTTTTTTTCATTAGGCTTTCATTAGGCTATCTACATGTCAACGCATGTATAAACCCATCTTACAGATAAGCTAAAGTCTTAATGAGGCGCACACCAGATAAATTCTTAACAAAACAAGCTGAATATTTCAGTTCAGATTGTCCTAATCATGAGTTTATTATGTTTTTCTCAACAAGCGCTAATAACCAATAATAATAATTATATGCAACGATCCGTCATTTAACCCATAATGCCTTACGATTCGTGCTTCTTCTCTAGTTCAGAAAGTTTGATACCCAGGACAGTCGACTGCAATGGCCAAGCAAAAATGATTACATAACAAATAATATTGCAAGGTAGTATTGGCTTGATTGAATTATTGAAAATATCCGGGGGGGAAAAAACATATCACTTAGACTCGTTATCAGTAGTAATTACTGATTCAGTATAATATATATATAGATTATGATAAGTAATTACAGAACAATTTGGTTATAACATTATAAACAATACACATTTCTACTACAAATGCATTTTCAAATACATCTCAACCATGTTAACGAACTACCCAGCATTCCTAAGAAAATAATACCTGACAAGCAGAGTTGTACAGATACAAGCACAACCAGCTCAACATGTGTGATTTAACTCCCCTGCATGTCAGTGAACACCTGCACAGCCGGTGCATGCTAATCCCAGTCAATGCTAATCCCTGCTTTTTAAAGATACCACGCGTAAGCATTGTGTTCCTCAGACGAGTTCAGATGAGTTCAGTGCTGACTCAAAGAGACAAATTCTCCTGGGGTAACACACACATCTATACACACTCGCACACAACCAGGAGACACAAGCCAGCGTATCACTCCACTCCTGCCAACCTTAGCTGTATAATTACAGTGAATGTCACCCACAGATCATTAAACTCTCCTTCAGTGACATTAAAGGTGAAAACAACGTTTCCATTAATCGCACTGGAAATATCCTGAAAATAAGTGTCATTTGGTATTTATCATAGAAAGAGAACCTGCTGCAGTTGTTGAATACAATGTGCTAAATTGTAAACAGGGTCTCCTTTATAAGACTGCTATCATCTGGACCCTAAAAAACAAAACATTTTAAATTCAGTAAATATTCATTTATTATTTGAAAATGTATTTTCTGTATATTTAAAATGATGTACACACATTCTTGTAGAGACGTGTTAAAGTACATATTTATCTCATCCGTTGTGCAGTGATTAAAATACTCTTTACTTTGCATTCTGAGTTCATTGTAATTGCAGTGTAACATTAAATCAGCCTTTAGTTTCCCTATATTTAGAACCAATTTAAATCTCAATGTTCCAATTTATTTACAGTTGCAAAGAGGTTCCCGTCCAGAACATTTTAAGAAACCTGAAATTAAAGAGAGAATTAAAGAGTTTTGTCACATTTTGGAAGTTTAAATGTCAAAAGAACCCACCAAAATACAGTTTTTTCAAGAGATTAGACAAAGGCTAATCTGGTGTCCGAGTCTCTGTCTTCTAAACATTTAACATTTAAAAGTAGTAGAGTTGTGGAGCAGTAATGGCGCCCGGCTTCCTGTAACGCCTTGTTGTCTTTGGGCAGATGGCAGCGACCTGGACGCTGTGAGTCACGGCAGCCTGGATAGCTCTGCCGACACTAACCTGGCCCCCTTCGCCTCTGACTCGGCCAAAGTAGACCCCATTGACGATAAATCTAGCACAGGTACACTCAACACGCCGGCTGCGCCACTCAATCTAAGGCAGCCATCTTGTTCTACATCTTGTTCTTCTCTCTCAATGACATTTTTATTTTTATTTATTTTTTATCCTTCATTTGTCCCACTCACCGACCGGTCTCTTCCTCATTTACCCTCTTCCTCCTGAACCTCCTTCCCCTCTGCTGCCTGTTTTTCTTCCACCTTCTTTACATCCATGTTTCTCCCCGGCTGTGCTCTGTACCCTAACCCCGCCCTTCACTCTGGCCCTGCCTGTGTTGCCCTTGCATGCAGTCGGCCGGGGGAGCAGCAGCGTGGGCGCCAGGGCCCCGGTGGCGCACTCACACTGGGGGGGCTCTGAGCTCAGAGAAGCTACCCACAACCCAGGTAATCCGCTCTGTCAGTCTGCATGTCTCTCTCTCTGGTTTCTCTGCCTCATCTCACTTGACCTGTTTTATTTTTCATCGTCACACTTTTCTCTGCCGTCTCGCCTCCTCTTCCTGTCATGTCTCTCCGGCACACTCTGCTACTCATCGCTCTTTCTCTCTCACTCCTCCTTTCAGCACTGAGTGATGTGTCATTGCCAATTATTGCGAGTAATTACCCAGTCACATTCTTTTTGATTACGGTAATAGTTTTAATCATGGAGCTGGCACCTCAGCAGGAGACTTCTCCTCGTGTGCAGAAGTCTGAACCGCAGCTCATCAGAAGGGAAGCACCGTGATCATGGTTATTTATTTTCTCCGCCATCAGTCGATCGATGCTGCCGAGCTGTGCAGCCTCATGCTTTATTTAGAGGTGAAGGTTCATGGGAAAGATGAAAAAGGAGAACAAAATCATCAGACAGCTGGTTGCCTGGAGACCCCGAGTTTTAGAAGCAGATGGGAGAGTCAGCCTGGAGAGCGGCACGTTTTTTCACGTCAAGTCTTAACAGTAAAATTCATTAGCAGCTGTGAAACTGCAGTCACTTTCCCGACAGTAACTGTGGATCTCTGCATGCCCTGAGGAGGATTATCTTTATTCATCACAGCTTAGCTGCTTTTCTCCTCTCCTCTCACCACCGCAAGAGTGATGAGCCTCCAACAAATGAGGAGATGAAAGGGAAGAAATGCCTCTCTAGGTTTCCCACTTATGTATGATTCATTCACTTCGCATACAAATGCTGTAAAGCCACAATAGGTTCACTTTTTGACACCAAAAAGCACTGGATTTCAGTAGATACTGTGAAATGAAAGGCCCTCAAGCCAATAATGAGAGTGGTGTCATGTACAGTGTTGTTAAAGTGCCGCTATTTCCAGAGAGTAACTTTTGCCTCTGCTTAGATTTTCCATTTAGCATATTTCTGTGATCTTGTGGGTTAACATCACAGACTTTAGTGCCTTTTCATATCCCTCTCATCTGATTTCATACGTGTCTTTCTCTGTTCTCTAGGGGATCAATCGGATCTGGGTTATAACTCACTGTCCAAGGAGGAGGTCCGGAGAGGAGACCCCGGCGCTCCGGACTCCAAAGATGACAAGAAGGAGAGCGACTGCAGCTCCTGTCAGTAGTCTGTCTGATCTGATACCACCTGATATTTCTGTCTACTGTACCTTCTAAGAAAATCATCTCACACGAGAGATTTCCCCTTCCTCTGCCTTGATCTTTCTCCCTCAGAGATGATTCTTTTTTTGTGTGGTTCTCAACATCAAAGCATTTCAGTCGTGTGTTTTCCTTCCATGGAATTGTTTCTTTTTTTTAAAGAACAGTGGTGTGATTCAAGCTGTGCTTTACTGTAAAAAAACAAGACTGATTTATAAATTGTAATTTCTGTGTTGGCAGTGTCAGAGACAGAGAGTGCCAAGGGGAGCAAAGACTGCCTCCCTCAGCTGGACATGGAGCTCCACTCGTCCTTCAAACCCCGCGGCATTGTGCGCAGCAGCTATCCGTATGACGAAGCCTCCTGTAAGCCCAAGAGCTCCGTCAGCGCGGGTAAATAATTCCCATCCAAGTGTCATCTTTGTCGGAAGTCTTCTCAATAACTTAATTATACTGTTGGTGTTTGTTATTGCAACCTGTTTAGATGAATTCAATACCCATAAGGCTCAGCTCATGTTGACACAGGAAAGAATCAGATCTTTAGTATGTAGTAGTATTTGTGAAAGAGATTCACTGTATGTATCCTATCTTTACATTCGGCCTGTCGTTGGCAGCCCATTCCAGCAGAATTTGAGGCTCATTATTTACTTTCTTATTAATAAAATGTTTCTTGACAGTAGTTCATCTGGCAAGCTTGTGCCCTTTTCACTTTTATATTAAAGAACATGATATTGTCAATCAGGAGGATTTAATGTCCGTCAAAGCTTTGAAGTGCTCCAGAAGTCAGTCACCTAGCATTGTCTGGACCGAAAGAATGCTCCTTATTATTACTTGATCTTCTCAGGTTTGTTTCTAATACTTACTAATGTTCCCTCTCTCAGGCCATGTTGCAGGCCTCCTCTTTTCCTCCTCCCTGGACGACATCGGTGAGGTCCATGGCAACAGATTGCTCAGGAAACACAGGAGTGCTCTGGAGGAGGTGGTGGGCAGCGCCGGCAGCGGCTCTGCTCTCGACTGGCAGGGGGGGAGGGGCCGCCAGCTGAGCGGGGACACGGTGGGCAGCAGCGGCACCACTGTCCTGGGCCTGGGGATGAGCCAGGGGGAAACAGACCCAGATAAGATCGCGGGACACATGGGCGCGGACGTCAAAATTCTCTCTGGTGCCAAATTCAGTCAGAGTAAGAGACCTCGTTCGCTGGCTCTGGGCGGGATAGAGGGGGCGGCTGCTTCCAGAAGTCTTGATCACGGGGAGGAAGAGGAAGAGGCGGAGGGACAGGACTCCAGTGATGAGGACAGAGGTAACACAGAGGCCATTTTTGATTTGGAGGATCTGGATTTAGACAAGCCTGCCACAGGGGCTGGCATCAGCTCACACAAATGTAATAAGAAACCTGTCGGACGCAGCGTGAGCTACGGGGGCGTGAGCTACGGGGGCGTGAGCTCCATGACGACCAGAGGAACTGTGAAGCGCACAGACATACAGACGGGCTACGACCCTCTGAGCCTCCTGGTGGCAGAGACACAGTCCGAGGAGCAGAGTGAGGACCGGTACCCAGAGGGGGACGAGGACAGCACTCCCAGCGCCCGAAGGCACCTGGCCAGAGAGATCGAGCTCTACATGAACCACATGGGCAGCCCGCTGAGCAGCAGGACCCCCAGCATGGACCTGCAGGAATCCGCCAGCCCCCTCCTCCTCCACCCCTCCTCCCTCTCAGCCCCCCGCAGAGCCAGCCTGCCCCACAGCTCCCCCCTCAGGGCTGTTGGGATGCCGCGCTCCTGCACCTTCCACCCGCCCTCGCCCTCCCAGTCCGTCTCACGCCAGCGCCTGCTCTCGTCCCCCTCCTGCCACAGCTCCAGCACCACCCCCAGCGCCAGCCCCCGCCCCAGCCCCTACAGGGAGAGGACGGACAGGATGAGCCTGGCGTCGCCTTCCCCCTCCTCTTCCTCTTTCGCTCTGGACACTCTGATCACACCAACGCTCGATGTATTCAAGACCAGCATGTTCTCCGCTGGGAAGGGCGTGGCAGAGAAGGCCAGCCGCTGGTATTCCCGCCTCTCCACATACACAACGCCTACCAAGGTATGTGTGTTGGGAAGGTGAATTTAGTGTTGAATGCAATACAGCTGAAAGAGAGCGTTTACCCAATTCATGCAGCTTTTAGTCTCTGCAAAATAACTTAATTTCACACAAAATATATGTTTAAATATGGCTCCCTGAATCAAGAAAACCCCATGCTCATCCTGTCTTATTGATATCTTCTGTTCTAAAGAGTCTGTTCCAAGTAGGTCCAATATAAATAGTGACCCAATTTAAAACCCTGTTTGTACATTTTCATTAAAAAAATAACAGACTTATCGCTACCTAATAGAATAGAATTGTTTAATGTCATTATACATGTACAATGAGATAAATAAATGCTTCTCCCTTTCAAGGGTGCCATCAAAACATCACAACATAAGACAACAAATACAATATATATATATATTAGTGTTTGGTGAAGGAAAATATTATTTCACCTACATAAAACTTCTGGGATAAATTGTTTAAATTCTCTGTTTCTGTGTCGGCCAGTATTTCTGTAAGCTCTCTACGCAGTAAGATGACCCTAAAGGTGGAATGCTGCTGCCATCTAGTGGCATTTTGAATGTCAGTGAAATAGTCTTACTGTTATAAAAGCCTTCATTGATAACTAAATAAGTCAAGACTTCTACTTGACTTACTACACGGCACACTACTACAGGCTACTGCCACACAGATAGCGTACATTTCACATACATCTGCACCTCGTGTTTTCATTGTAAGATCAGACCTCTGTGCCGTCCCCGAAGACACTAACCCGCCTCCTCCGTTTCTTCAGGACGGTCACAGTGACCGCCTGAGTATTTCCTCCCTTGGCTTTGGAGATCCAGACTGCGCCTCGCTGCTGGATGACGAGGACTGTGATGGCTCCTTGATCTCTCCACAGAGGAACGGCCCCTCAGGGCCCCGCAGGAGCCCCCGACGCAGCCCCCTGCGCAGCACACAGCACAGCCCCTCTGCCGGCCACAGCCTGGGCAGACCCACATCTCTGTTCCCTGGTAAGAGAACATTCTTCTCACTCACTGAAAAGAGCTGAAGGGATATTATATTACTAACTTTCCAGTGTCTAATATAATCAAATCCCCTAACGTATTAAAAACACATTTTCTTTAGTACTTTATGGCTATAGCTCGATTGACCAAGGCTCAGGATAGCTATATTTGCCTCATGCTTAATGACAAGAAATTAGACACGGAGACGGAAAATGTCAAGCAGTCTATTAAAACATGTTATGAAAAGGAAAAAGGCATAAATATGTCGTACTTTCACCAAAAAAAAATACAGTAGACCTGTTTCCAAAAGAGGCAGGATGAAGGTCATGTTGTTACAAATGCCTTTGTCTTAAACATCTCAATAAATCTATGCTGACATTTTCACTCAAAGTATTGTCAGATATCCTGATCTCTCTTAACCTCCTGCAGGATGTGTGCTCTCCCCCCCCGGCTTCCCTCTGCCAGACAGGTCGGACCTCGGCTCTTCACGCTACACCAGCAGCACCAGCATCTTCAACAACTATGCCATGGAGGTAAAACCATAAAGCTGTAGAGTAGAAACTAAACTAATGCTTAGAAGACGCTTATAGAAAGTGTGTCTGCTTCTGCAACAGATATGTACGACAGAGTATTAGGGCCACAGATTTCGAGAATAAAGTCATAGTTACGAGATTAAAGTCGTAATACTACGAGAATAAAGTCGTAATGTTACGAGAATAAAGTCATAATTATGAGTCGTAGTTTCATAAGTGACTTGAGAAGGAGACAACAGGAGCGTCCTGCAATACAATGAGGAATGTGGAGCATCTTGTGAAGTAGTAACGAAGTACTTAATCTTTTGGCACATCAGCATCAGATTATCATAAGTATTAGAACTTTGAAAAGGTTGTGCAAGAAACTATGTCTATTATTTCGAAGCAAGAACCAAACGGACTTGGAGGAGATTGTCTCCTTTCTGCAGGAGGAAATGGCTGGTTCTGTCCGACTACAAGGCTATCGTTGGTTACATCTACGAGCTGTTCAAAGGGGATTTGTTGTTTCACAAGAAACGATGAGACTTGTAATCAAGGCTTTGGATCCAGAAGGAGTTGAAGGATAGCCTTTTAGTGGAATCGGAATGAGCTCCCCATTGAAATCAGGACAGCAGAAAGTTTACACATCTTCCGGCGCAGACTGAAAACTCATCTCTTTCGACTCCACTTCGAGCAATAGAATTGCTAACAAAGCACTTATATACTAATAAAGGACTGGCTTATCTAAAGCCAGTTGAGTAGCACTTGAAATGTTTTGGCTCTATGAAACCTGATGTACTTATATGATTCTGTTTTCTTCAAGCTTGTGTCTTGTTGGTCGAACGCACTTATTGTAAGTCGCTTTGGATAAAAGCGTCAGCTAAATGCAATGTAATGTAGTCGGCCAGAAGCAGCCATTTCCTCCTGCAGAAAGGAGACAATCTGCTCCAAGCCCGCTTCTCAAGTCACTTATGAAACTATGACTTTAATCTCCTAATTATTATTTTATTCTCGTAATATTACGACTTTATTTTCGTAACTATGACTTTATTCTCGTATTATTACGACTTTATTCTCGAAATCTCTCTGTTTTTTTTTCTAAGTGTGGCCCTAATACTCCGTCTTAGATATGAATGTATAACAGGTTATTTGGCTACAAGGGTTCAAACTCTGCAAACGGGTGGTACAATATTATCATGTGCTATTATTAATAAATAGTTATCCAGTCTGTCACATCAAATATGTCTGATTAAGTAAAAACATGTGTAACAGCTTTCAAAATTGCTTTACAGACCATAACAGTGAAGTAGTTTAAATAGATGTTATTTAAAACCTTGATGACTTTTATTCTGTAAGCTCACCCACTGCTCTGTGTGTTTCCAGCTGCTGATCTCCAGCTGTTCCCGCTGTAAGACGTGCGACTGCCTGGTGTACGATGAGGAGATCATGGCAGGCTGGACTGCGGACGACTCCAACCTGAACACCACCTGCCCCTTCTGTGGAAACCCCTTCCTGCCCTTCCTCAACGTGGAGCTCAGGGACATGCGAGGCCCCGGCAGGTAGGGGATGAACTGCTGTAAAAATGTAGTGGTGGGAAGAATGGGGAGATGAATCCATATTTTAAGGATTGATTACGTTTTATTTTTAAATATGCATGGATCTCCTGAAAACCTGGTTTTAAAAGGGAACATATCATGATTCATGACAAACTCACTTTTTCAGTACATTTGGCTATATCTGGCATTCTTAATAAAAACACAAACTGAATTAGGTCACAATGACTCGCACAGAAGATAAACTACACCTGACTTTATTTCCTGGATGTCATTTCCCCGCTGTGTTTCCTCTCAACTCCGCAGGCTTTTTCTGAAGGGCAGCCCTTCGGTGGACGAGGAGATGACCTCGTCGTACTCCACCTCCACGGGTTTGGACACGGGGACGTCCACCTTGTCCACCCCGTGTCCTAAAACAGCTGCCTTTCCTCCCTCCCCTGGGATCGCTGTCCAGGAGTGCGCCGGGAGTGGAAGGTACTCACCACATCCTCATTGATTAACATGCGTATCCTAAATTGATTCTTCTGTCTGGTTTGCTGTATTATTGACAAACTTGTAGCCTTCTCAGGTTTGATAGTAAAGCAGCAGGGAGGATTGAAATCACGTGCACAGAATTACCTCAGAATTTGAACATTGTAAATGCAGGTTAGTCTGATAACTCAATGCGTTTTAAGTAAGAACCCAGTGCAGCTACGTCCACACGCTCCCCATCTGCATTGTAAAAGAGCAATGTGAAATGATCTGCAGCACCTGTTGCTAACAAAGCTGCGTGTGTGTGTGTGGGAGGGGGGGGATGACCGAGGGTCCATTTGCTTGTATAAAGTCCCTCTTGAGGTCATGAAATGGGTAAGCAACAGGAATGAACAGTGCATGCATGATATCTTAATGCTGACTTATTAGTGAACAAAACATTGTGTGTTTGGTTTTTGATTTTACTGAATATTATTCATGTAATATAGACATCTGGATTCTGTGTCTGTGTGATGTTTTTATGGAAGTAAAACCATACCACCCCTGGAATACGTATTAGCAGATTAAAAACAGACTTCTCTTGAGAACAAACTTGCAGCTATATGCGATTTAGTTATCATTTTGACTGTGAGATTTGTGTTACAAACTTCACAGGACTCCATCGACCAATGCTGAAGGTATCAACATCCCGTCTGACCAGCGGCAGGAGGGTCCGTCCCCCGGGGGGCACATGGCCCGCAGCATCAGCACCTTCTGTCCCCAGGACGGAGCACCAACAATTAACCACCGTTTGCCGGCGTCAGGCAGCCTGCCCAGCCGTCTGAATGAAGCCACAGTATGTCACAATACTGAACACCTACAAAAACACTTCACCGTACATATTTTACATATGACGGTTAGAAATGTGACCTATAATTCCTGTCTCACTCAGGACCCGCTGAATATGGAGTGGCGGCTCCACAACCCTGAGCCGGTGACGGTGCCCTACCTGAGCCCGCTGGTGCTGTGGAAGGAGCTGGAGAGCCTGCTGGAGAACGAGGGCGACTCGGTGATCACCGAGGCCGACATGGTGGACCAGCATCCCATCATCTACTGGAACCTGGTCTGGTACTTCAGGCGCCTGGACCTGCCCAGCAACCTGCCCGGACTCATGCTCACCTCGGAGCACTGCAACAGAGGCTCCCAGGTATATATATATACACACACACACACACACACACACACACACACACACACACACACACACACACACACACACACACACACACACACACACACTACATAATGTGTGATAACGTGCTGTGTAGTGAAAATTAGGTGGAAAGTTTGACGTTTATGCTTAACATAGTGCACTTC